TATTTCTTTTATCATATGTTAACACCATTATGAAGTTGAGACGTCTTCTTCATTAAGTGTCGAAATATAAAAGGGCCCTCTTTTATAAAACTCATGTTCAAATTAATTAGTCATGAGGATAACAGAAGCATTTTCGAAGAACAAAAATGTAAATTATTCTGTAAGTCCTTAAAAATAAAGGAAAGAATAAAATAAACAGAAGTTCAAGATAATAACATGAAAAAACTTCTTAATATTTAAAAACTTAAGACTAAGTACGAACTTAGTCACAAAACTATGAATTGTTTATACAAACTGCCCCATAAAAAGTCTGGGGACTTTAATTCTCAAAATAAACCCTTAAATGGAACCAAGGGTTTCACCACAATTTTTCAAATGAAACAAAAACAAAGTTATTCAAATAACTAAGGTTGATCACTAAGAAATTGGAGGAACTGAAGTAGAAGCATCAACAGCAACAGGCTCAACTTGGGCATGAGTATCAACAGTTGCGTGCTCAATTTGACCTGCAGCAACAGGCTCGACTGGACTTGAAATAGTTGGGATACCCGTATCGACTTCAACATTCACGGAAGCTTCGGCCACGGGAGAAGGAAAATTTTGAGTTTGCTGAACTTTCTCAATAGTTTCATTGATTTTTGCCAACTCAGATTCCAAGTTGAAATTTTCTTGGCCAGCTTCAATTACGGTATCACGACGTGAATTCAAAAACACCCAACTTATTTCAATAGCAGATTTATCTTCAAGGATCTCATAATCCCTTTTCCAGTCAGCAATTTCATTCTTTAACTTCTCATTTTCAGCCAAGGTAGATGTGTAAGAAGTCTGGAGAGAGGCATGGGAGCTTTCTAAAGCACGCACCTTATCAGAAGAAGCTCGAAGGTCTTCTTGTGCCTGAGTCAAATTTTGTACGAGCTCCCTAGCGTAAGCTTCCTTTTTATTCAAAAGAGCCTTCAACTCTCTGATTTCTTCACTAGCCTTGGACAGCTGTTCTGAATAGGAAGTTTCAAGGTGAGTTTTTTCTTTATCTGCTTGGCTTAAGGAAGCCTTTTCAACCGCCAACTCCGAAGTCAAAGCTCGTACCTGCTGCTCCAAGGTACTCTTGCTCTCTTCTAAATATTCCACATCAATTTGCAAGCTCTCAAACTGTTCTTTCCAATTGCACGCCTCTAACTTAGAATCACGCACTAATTGATTTGAGTGGGCAATTCTTTTCATCATCTCTGTGCCGATAAGGTTGACCTAAAAAGGGGAAAAAGAAAAAAGAATCCTCAAAGATAGAAAAATTACAAAGTAAAAGAAAGAAGAGAAGGGGAATACCTTCAAAGTGGCGTGCACAATATCGTTCATCAGGGTCAAGAAACTATGTCTCTCTAGATTAGCTTTCTCAATTGGGACAATTAAAGGCTCTAGCCATACATCCGTTTGACCTGATTTCCTTAAGAGACTGCCCTTAGCAGGAACTTCAATGACTACTCGCCTCATAGCAGCATTCTTACTTGAGGAGCCAACCTCAGTGCAATGAATGTTTGGAGGAGGAATTGTCGAAGGAGGAACAAAAGAGGTGGTAAAGATAGTCTAGGGAGGAACAGAAACAATCGAAACTGGCAAAGAATGAGTTACAGACACGAGTGTCGAAAAAGAAGCCAAGGGTACTTCATCCAAAACAGGACCTAAGCCTTCACTACCAAACCCGCTAATAAAAAGCTACTCAGCAGAGTCATGAGCAGCAGCGGGAGCAACGTCATCATCAAGAATTAGTACCGGAGTCTCAACAAACTCGGTAAGAGGAACAGAATGACGGGGGGATACCTCTGCTTCATTATCAGAAATGATGCGTCTTCGAGCTCGTGGCCTTGTCACCAAAGAGCCCTTGTCTTCCTCCTCTTAAGAGTCATGTCCCTCAATGGCAACAACTTTTCTTTTTGTAGAAGAACACAAGATTATTTCTTGAGCCCTTTCCAAAGAGATGTGGGAAACCGCGACTACCTCGGCAGTGACTCCGCGAATAGCAAATCCTGATAAAAAGATGAATTTAAATTAGTGCAATAAAAAAAATATACACGAAAAGATGAAATAAAAGTTCTTACCATGAGTTTTTACTTTCCAACCAAAACGGTTAGAAAGTGTTTTCCAAGACCTACCATCTATTGGTGCCATGGTTGCTAAAAAAAGCAAAATTAGAAAAGTTGACAAATTTGGAGAAAAAAGGTACGAGAAAGTTAAAAAGACTTACGTGCAAAATTCTACTTGTCAGGGAAGGGAACATTATCATCACCCACTAAACCAACAGTAGGGGCAGCAACAAACCTGGCATACTAGCCACTGTCTTTGTCATCCTCAGGACTCACCAAAACTTTCTTGCTCCTAGCTACTAGTGTGAAAACACCATTGCGAAAGAGTCTAGGGGAGTAAAGGTGAATCAAATGAGGGAAAGTAAAGGGAACACCGACTGTGTTGGTCAAATGCCTCAAACAGGCAACAACCCTCCATATGATTGGGCCAATTTGACCCAAGCAAACATCGAAGAAACAACAAAACTCAAGAATAACAGGGTCAATAGATGGTCTAAACCCTAAGGTGAAAGGGTATGTATAAATAAAAGAAAACCCGATTATATAAGAGGTGATTCTTTGTTTTGGATTAGGGATAATAATAGGGAAATCACTATTCCAATGACAGTCTCTACGAACTATAGAAATCAAACCTTCTGTAATTTGAGTGGGATAAATATCAACACGATCTAAACCAGAGACTTGGTTCATAAGAGATTCTCTGTCATGGTAAAAAGATAGTTCCGTAGGAACTATCTCCTCTACTGTAGGCTCACGAAGAGGTTCAGAAGGTTCTTTACCTCTTGAAGAAGATCTTTGTGAAAGTGAACTCCTAGTTCTAGAAGAAGGGCCAGAACTAGGTAAAGGAGTGGAAGAATCGCGAACAGATCCTAAATTACGAAGCCTACCTCCCCTTCTGCTTCTAATGGAGGCATTAGGGAAGGAATCAACTATGGGAATCCTTCTAGGGTTAGTCTTTGAAGAAGACATGATGAAGAAGGATGATACGATAAAGAAGCAAACAGGGATTTGAGAGATTGAATATTCAGTAAACTTTATGTGGAAAAGACAAAGAAAGAAGTTATATTTATACTGATAAGCGACCGCCGAAGGAAAAAGTGTGATGATGGAAGTACCATAATAATGATAACTGACTCTTCGTGAATAGTGGAGCCATGAAAAAGCCTTAAAAGGGGCTGCAGAATTGCAGAACTAATAAAAAGGTGACACATGTAAAGAGCATTAAACAGAAGTGACAATTGAAGCGTCAATTTTGTCATAGCATTAATGGTGACAAAATTCTCGTTTTAATGAAATCCACTTCTCAAATATTCAATTGATGAATAAATGGCAAGTGGGGGGACTATCTGTATTGGGAAAATTGGGTTTACATATTAAAGTGGAATAAAGATGACATGTCAAAACACGTAGAATAGTCACAGAGTTACAACTGGCAAAGAGACACGAGTTGCAACAGATACGAGCAAAGGCAAAGGAAGAGACACGTGCAGATATTCAAAGGACTCGGCGCCCGTATCTATTTAAGTCATTTAGGTAAGGGAATCAAGGGGAATGAATCTGACAATATATGAGAGTACAGATACAGTATTTAATGAGCATTAAATACTGAATACGTTAGAGAATCTGCATTAAATACAATGATTGTGTAACGTAGCATTCAATGTCTTTAAGTACTCATAATAGCCTTATTAAGACAAGGGCAAAACGCATATCTCCCAAATAGCTATAAAAGGGAGATAATTGATCAATTGTAGGAACACGAAACACTATTGGAACATACTTTGATTTACTTGTTTTTCTCCTGATTATACTCTTGCTACCCAAATTACTCTCTTTTACATATTCTTTCGATTATTAGTAACCCTTGTTCTTCTAAATTCTAGCTTTGACTAAAATTCCATTTTTTGGTTAAACATACATGACCTGATATACACGTGCAACGCACGTGACGCGAAACTAGTATAAATATACACATATGTAATTTTTTGAAGATTATATGTCTAATAAATCAATATGCTTTTAAAATAACGAAAATGCCTATTAATTTGAAATAGTAAGAATGAAGTTTTAAAATTCTTTTAACTAGTACTCTGTTCAAGTTTTACTAGTACTACTCACTGTTCAAGTAAAAAATGATTGCCTTTTAAAATTTGGTAAAAAATAATAATTTAAATTATCTATAAATTTTTTTCTAGTAACAGAAATAATATTATAATATTATATTTAACATCACAAAATTTTAGATTTTTACAGTCATATAAATTTCATAAAGATTATTTCCTTCATAAACTCGATACTCAATCAAAAATTTACTTAAATTTAAAACATAGTAATATGTTAATTACTTGTCGTCATACTAATAGATAGACACGAAAAAGATACTATTGCGCAAGTCTCTGCTGCTAGAACAGAATAGAGACGGTTGGAAACAGAGGCGAACCTATGGCTTATGCTAGAGGGATCATCGGAACCCGTAAATTTTGGCAGAAATTTTTTATATATATATATACCTTAAAAATAATTAATTTAAATCACTTTATACCCTTGTTAAAAGTTGTTGAAGACACTAATTGAACAGAATATTATGTCCCCATTACATTAAATTTCTAGATCCGCCTCTGATCAGAAATGACACAGAAGGTCAGGTGCTTGTAATATGTAACAAGTTAACAACTACACTAGAGTTCATTGATCGGTTTGGATTTAATTTGTTGGATATTATCTCCAATCGCTTTTAGGCTTAGCTAAGCTTTCGGAGCGACAGCGTGTGAGCATACTATCACCCTTGCGGACGCGTGTCATTCTTCTTACAACATCAAGGCTGAGTTGCTCTCGTCTTTTCTCTCTGAACCGCCGCGTTAACCTCCACGCGTCAACTGCTCAACGCCATTATCTCCCTGCTCCCCTAGTATAAATGTGCAGCCAAATTATCCATTTCGTCATCAGGTATTGCGGTAAGTGAATATCGTACTAAAAACCGCACTTTGCTTTGTGTATGTCCACAACAAAGGAACAAGAAATTATGGCATCACAGCAAGAAAGGTCTGAGCTCGACCGTAGGGCAAAAGAAGGAGAAACTGTAGTTCCAGGTGGCACAGGTGGGAAAAGTCTTGAAGCTCAGGAACACCTTGCTGAGGGTATATATCAACATACTGTTTTACTTTTTGGTACTCATTTTCTTCTCCTTAACTGCATATGTACTGCTATTTTTGTTTTACAAGGGAGGAGCCGTGGAGGGCAGACGAGAAAGGAGCAGTTGGGAACGGAAGGCTACCAGGAAATGGGACGCAAGGGAGGTTTGAGCACCGGCGAAGAGACCGGTGGGGAGCGTGCGCAGCGAGAAGGAGTAGAGATAGACGAATCAAAGTACAAGACCAAGAGCTAAACTAGTTGAACACAATAGTCTTTTAATCCTTTGGTCCTCTTCCCTGTGTTAATAAAAGGGTCTTTTTCTTTCTCATGTGTCTAGTTCCTAGGATGTACTATTGTGTTTCAGCTTTCTAGTTTATATTATCTTAAGCTAGGTACTATCGTTATGGGGACCATGTAGTCTGGACAGGCCCTATATATGTTGTCTCTTTTGGTTTCATATGTTGTGTAGTTCGTCTAACTTGAATGTCTAGTTGTCTTTTTAGTCTAGTGATCTCTTCTACATGGTTAAATATTGCCTTTTTCCTTTTATCGAGACGGATTCCTCTCAAGGAAAATGTTTAATCTGCATCTGTATGGGCACATTATACGCACAAATCGTGAAAAATGTGATGGTACACGTTGGGGGGACACATGAAAATGAGGTGGTAATGCAACTGCATTTTGTACGACGAAAAAAGTATCAAATTCTCTAGCGGGGCCGTATGTGAAACTGAAAAAGGCTAAATCAAGTGGAGAAGCAATTTGTAATGGGTACTGAAATATTACTGAAGTTGTGAATTAAAATTAGACGAAATTTCATTGTGCATGTTGTCAGAAATTCCAAAAAAGAAGTTATGCTTAGATCAAATCTGTTTTGAAATTAATAGAAAAATACTGTTATCTTAAAATATAGACGCTCTAGTAAATTAGAGTAATAAGAAGTCATGGACTTGCATTCTGGGAGGTATTTTTTGTGGAAAAAGCATGGTCTTTTTTTTTTTTTTTTTTGGTAAACACCC